TGCCCGCCGTAATAATTGTTGTATTGTAGGCGGATATGGTGGTGTAAAAGTCGTTGCATGCATGCGCACCGGTTGAGTCTGTGGAAAGGAAACCAGAAGCCGGCTCAAAGTACACAAAGTATTGTGTACATATTACGCCCTCGACAATCGTGAGGCAAGTGCCCTAAGATCACTCTGTGCTAGCTGTGTGTGTGTGTGACTCCGGCGCGCTGCGTTTTGTGTACGCGAGGATAAGTCTATGGCTTTCACAAAAGCCCCTCGGATCCAGCGCGAGGGCATCCAGCTCGCAAGCATTGGTTGGAGGTGGACGGATGGGACTAGTGGAGGAGGTAGGAGCGGTTAAGGAGGGTAGTACGAGAGGGCGTGACACTAGTATGCCCTGGGGTGCGTGCCTGGAAACGGCTGAGGTAGAGGAAGACACGAAAACACGAAACTCGTCGGAAGCTCGGCCAGTCCGTCGGGACTATGGGAAGCGTGGGGCGGGCTTCGGGTCATACCTACAAGGAGCATATATGTTCTGTTTGTGGGTCCACAGAATGTGCTACTAGTGCCTGGCTGTGTGGTGCATAGACCCTGCTTGTCAGAGGCTGGATGGGCAAGCGTTGCCCAGGTGAGCACTTGGCCTAATGTCCCATATACACCCTCAGTGGCCCCGTGTTGACTATCATGCTGTGCCTTCTGTCCCGTGAATGCTGTGTGTGTTGGAAAATAGTACCCCCAGTTGAAGGAGACACGTATTGGAAATAACAGAACTTAGAAGGTTTTGGGAGGAGGTGTCAATCACCAGATGTGTGTTCTGTTAAGACTTATATTACAGCGTATACACTCACTGATGTACTAGCGTGTGCTCTAAATACTCTGTTCTCGTTGTGTGTCACGAATATTGAACAGTGTGTATTACTTACTAGACAGCTGTACTGTGGTAGTCGAGCTACATAAGCAACCAGATAATGACCAACTCATCTAACATTGTAGTAGGTATGTGCTGGATAGTGCAGTACACTGCCACAACGGAACAGTGGTAGATGTATCTGTACATAGCCAAGCTCCTTACACATCGTGTGTGGACTGCGTTCAAACTGACTCTTTCTCCCATGCTCTCGACAGCTCACAGCGCAGACCTCTTTGTAGCAGTCTCGTACACGACGGTAAATGGGATTCAGTTTCGTGTGATCATCGGTGCAGCTTCTTCAGCGCTATGGCTATATAGAAAATTACACATCGCCTTTTGACTCACTCATCTCAGCACAGCCTCGTAACTATTCCCGGTTTTGATATTTATGGTCAATATTGATATTCAAGAAAGTGCATTTTATTGTATAAGCCTACCAATAGCAAAGGCGTACTAGATTATACTTGGATCCTTTTTTAACAGTTGTCTAGTGTTCGAAGGGGTGCAGATATGGTTTATAATATATATAATATAAAATTAAACCCGCATACAATGTTGTCTTCTGTAGACCAGTAAATCCTCAGCTAGTGTTGCATATATTTGGTTATGTATATTATGTGAGAGGCCTGATGTCGATGGACGAGCAGAGCATGGAGAAAAGAAGAATGAAACTCAACACTCCGTTTCAGCGGCCAGCCTGTAGACAACCAATGTTGTTTCTACTACTGGTGTTCGGTGTATTGTAGGTGGGAAAGTGTAGTCGACGTGGAGTCGTGTGTACGTGGAGTGAACCCTGTCTCCTCACTCCATAATAAGAGCCCTGTAGGGTGATATACGTGGAGTGAGCACACACTGTTGTGCCTGTCCGTCGTGTCTATGTTATGGTTCACGTTGTAGCCTTATAGGATATATACATGTTAGTCTGTGTTCTAATGAGAGTCTATAACCATACACAGGTGTACACAATACCGTATCACAGCTCAGAGTTAGTCCGTCTCTACACACCTACTGGATCGTGGTCTCTTATATTGACACTCTTCTGTTTACTCATGTTTCGATCACACCATGTGGTAGCAATTGGTGTCTCATTAATAATAATACTCAGGTGGCTGCCATAGCACTAGAGCCATAGACCACGCACCCAGAGCAATTGGTGTCTCATTAATACCACTTGATATGTGTGACATTCTAAACAAGGGCTGCTGAATTTGAAACCCTATGCATAATGACATGCATACATTAGTGCTGGAGTTACTATGCTAGGCAACCACGTATGATTAATGCGCGTATGAATACCTTTGACAGTATTTTGGAGAGGGCGTGGCTTTGGTTGAGCATCACTCAGGCTGGGAAATAAACTATAGCAGTAGCAGACATGATGATCAGTTGGTAAGAGGGCGGATATTAGGCCCCACAGCATTATGAATTCTGTAGAGAGTCTCTGGGGAGCATGTCTTACTGACTAGCAGTAACAGGACAGCGGCTGAGCAAAGCGCAGCTATCAAGTCTGCATACATTCTGACTATCTGGCAAAATTTTTGCCTGGTCATGGGCCGCCAGAATGACCCAGCATATGCAACGGTCGTTACGTGTATCTCCGTGGTAACTGCAGATATTTTTAATGTACATACATCTCACTGCAGTGTTCTAATAGCAGTGTTCGAAGTGTAGCTAGGGTAAAACGCACAGCCAGACTATACTCTACATACAGCATGTACATAAGGTAATAAGACACGTAGAAGGCCTTTTCTTTTGCCTTTTCTTTGATCAAGCATTGTATCATTTTATGCATCACCCATTACAGCGTGATAACGATGCATACAGAATGAGCACTCATTCATTCATTTTTTTAACACACTGTGTGTCACCTAGTAGTCATAAGCCATGTTCAAACTGCTCATGCACCTATGCATGTATTGCATTCTGTACTTGACCTCTAACAAAGTGGTACATCCTCTGTGACAGACGCAACTGTGTACTTGTGTTAGGATACCTTTCACCGCAGTGGAAGTTCTTTGTGTATGGCTTCATGTTGTCCATATAGTGCCAGTGTATTTCCTTGGCCGTGTCCTGCCACAGATGGTGGGTAGTGGAAGGAAGACTTCTATTGACTCAGTGACTCATTCATCATTGGCACAATGTGTACTGTATATACCCTATAGCATACAATCTGCTGCAGGGGCAGTTTAATGTACTACTCTTGCCAGAGCACTACACTTGCATTGTAATGTGTCTGAAAGTTTACCCTGCAGTAGGTTCAGTAGGGGCAAAATCTACTTGCCAGCCCAATACGTATAATCCGCTCTGCTAAGACCATGTATTGTAAGTATTATATACTGTACAATGAATAGGGAAGAACTGTGCAGCTCTACATGTGTGAGCATAGCATACACAATGTGCATTGTAGCATATGTACATGTTCATAGCGTAACAAATGTAGTACCCAATGCACACGTGTGAGGTATTTAATAAGGGGACTGAGGGTGGTTTCATTAGCCACCCCAACCTAGAGATCAAAGACTGGAGAATGTGCTATACCTCCTGTCTCCAGTGGCAAGAGAAGACATTTAGTTCACTGTAATAAGAGATGACTGGTGTAGAAGACTGTATGTATTGGTTACATGTGTCAGTATGGGAGATTGGGTGGGCTGCTCATTCTCTCTCCATTCCCATCCTGTCTGTCTATAGTCGGAACACACATCACACAGTGTGACCCTGTTTGTTTGCTAACACCTTGAGATCTTTGTGCTCTATGGCCTCCAGATATGACCACATGCTCTAGCAGTCTTCACTGTATACATATACAGTACAATACAATACAATACATGTACATCATCTGTCTACAGTACAGTGCATTAGTGTGCTACACTGCTAACACTTAATGGTGCTGACAGAGCATTGATAGGCTTGCAGACAGGCAATCGCAAATGACAACTCTACCAATAACCTCCTTGCTTTTAACCTCCCACTGTCTCCCTTTCTCCCTCTCCCCCTCTCTCTCTTCATCTCCATTCCCTCTTCCCTCTCCTTCCATCCTCATCTCCACCCTTCCTTCTTTTCCTACCCCTGTCTCCTCCCTGTCTCTCTCCTTCCCTCTACCCCTTATACAGCTGAACTAGAGGACCTCTCACCCAATTCCCCCCAACGTCTGTCATCTTGTCATGTCAAGGTGTCCTCGGTGCGACAAACCAGTTTATTTTGGTGAGTCTAAGTCAACCCCCGGCCTGCACAATCAGCAAACCTTCCCTCTCACACACTATGTTACCTGTGCAGGAGGGAGTGTGTGTGCTGTTAGTAAACACTACTTGGGTCTTGTGTCCATAAACCAGTGTACACTTTCAGTCCACTGAGTTGGTTATGAACGTTGCCATAACCTCTACCAGCTACATACATACATAGGTGTACATGTAGTATGGGTGAGCGGATTTGCATTCATTTTCCTCATAGCGTAGACGGTAAAATACTTACTCGAACCGTCTCTCCATTAATGGTTAACCCCATGTGAAATCTGAGTGGGCATGCTCATACATACATACAATGACTGCTCGCAACTCTTCAGGCGAGGAGGTACACTCGGTCATGTCGTCCAAAGAATGCTAAGCATTTCCACTATCCGTGTTTTCCTACACCTGTACCACTCAGTGGTCGCTGTTAAACCCCCTGTTTTGGTGTCTGGTGTAATAGGCTGAAGGTCCTTCTCTACCAAGTATGGAGGGGTGTCATTAGCACTATTAGCCTTTTATTGCTCCATGCACACACACACTCAACAATGGCCTGATAGTCAGTTATGGTTCAGACTATATTGCACACATGTAATTTAGGAGTAGTGTGTAGAGATGATGTAGTGGTGCAGTTGCTTTACTGGCAGTTAGTGGAGGATGTCTGTGGTTTTCTTAGCGGCCTTTATGGGACCCAAAATATCCAACACTATAATATACACATTACTACATACTAGTGTTGTACTGTACAACACTAGTATGAACAGATTTTGCATCAGACAGTATGTACGTATGTAGTACACATAATTTTAGAGTCATAGTAGTGGCGAAGCAAATTTTAGCACCCCAAACGTTCACAAGCTTCATCTGTTGTCCTTGTGAATGTGCTGCACTGTCTAAGAAGGTCATTTGCCTAGACTGCAGAGTGTCGTGGGTTCGAATCCCACCCAGGGCAGCTCTTCTTCTTTTGAGCTGTCCTGGGTGTAGTTGACTTGTTTGCCTTGCCTTGCCTTTCTACCTCGCTACCAAGGCATTTTCCCATGTAGCTGAACGGAGGTCATCTCTGGGCAAGGAGTGGCACCCGACCTGTCTCAGGTGTGGCAGCTGCGACAGACTGCTCTCTCCCGGTGGACACTGTGAGGTACACCCTCTCATTTCGTTGATTAGCCAACTCCATTACATAGCTCACTTTATGGGAACTCATCTTCTACTTATATACATAATTATGTATACCTAAGAAGTATAGAGCAATGGAGTTATGCTCAGTTTTTGTTGAAACGGGCACATAGATTTAGAGAGAAACACTTTCAGGTTTGCAACACCAAAAAATAACTGCTCTGCTGTGGTCTGGTACACAATCCTGGGAAGAGCACTTGTCGAGGAAGAGTTGCAAGCAAATGGGAGATGTTACACTATGCATTGTAGCCTCGTGTATTGAAGAGAGATAAAGTATTCTTTGTTCCCGGTGAATAACTTAATGCACCTAATAATATGTGCTCAGTGAGTGTGTACCTGTGTATATGTATTCTCTGAATTGTACAAATATTACATCTTTCCTCATTCCGTCGCCATCCCCACAGCACCTTGGTAACCCGTACTGCAACAACTGCTACCAGCAGAACTTTGGACCGGACGGATTCAGACCCGGCTGCGTAGAGCCTCGCAAGTTCAAAATGAACAACGCCGCACAGAGTGCATCGGAAAAGTCAGTTTGTTTAAGACCCACATCTTGGTCTGAACAGAACTCTGTCTATTATTGGGCGTGAATGAAGCGTGTGTCAATGAGGTAGAAAGGCAAGGCATAGCAAACTAGTCAACTACACCCAGGACAGCTCTTTCTTTCCAGGGAAAAAAGAAGATCTGCCCTGGGTGGGATTCTGCTCTGGTAGACACTCTGCTTTCTAGGCAAGCGCTCTACCAACTGAGCATGTGCTCATGTGTAGAAGGTTGTAGTGTCAATGCACAATCTCTTAGTGTTCTGTGTCAAACCACGGTATTGTTGTCTAGTTGTGTATTTCTCCAGTTCTCTGCGAGTGTCTTGATCAGATCAATACATTATAACTCTGCTGTTGGCATTATAACTCTGCATTATAACTCTGCTGTTAACATGTAAGAGCTGAGCCGAAGTGCCCGCACAAGTCTGGATAACTAAGGGTCTACAGTTGTAGAACTCATTCTTTTGTACTGATTCACGAGTGGTGTGTATGGTATAGAGTATAAACAACATGTCTCCCCCAAGGCAGGAGATCCCGGCCAGGATACGGGAGTACAACCTGTACAAGGAGGCTCCTCTGGACCAGCTCAAGTTCAGAGAGGTTCATACATACATAATGTCGTGTACTTACTAATACTTACTAATAGTGTGCTTTACTTTGTATGCTGTGTACAGTGTGCTGTTTGTGTGTGTGTGTGCATGCAGTACATGTCTTTTATGCAAACATGGGTATATACAAACATGGATACAGTGTAGTACGTCAGTATATTTTATTGGGAAAGAGAGGTGCCACTTTTGCTTTTGCTTTTGCTTTTGCTTCCAACCAAAGCCACAATAGCAAACCCTCTCTCTCTCTCTCCCTTCTGCAGTATGCATGTATATATAATACTCTTATGTAGTATAATGTAGTATAATGTAGTATAATGTAGTGTACATATGTGTCTTGGTGCCTCGTGCTATCGTATATGCATTACTGGATATGAGTTAACGGTTATTGGGATATGAGTTACCGTATTTCCTCGATCAGTAGCCGCGGCTACTATTTTTTCAGCGCCACTAACCCGCGGTGCCTATTCGAGGGCGGCGTTTATTTCGCAGAGCACGGCGCACGCTAGCTTCGCGGAGCCACGCCTTCTCCCGAGAGGCGCATAGTCAATGACCTTCAGTTTAAACGATGCATCAAAGCTCCTCTTCTTTCTGGCTGTAGCCTCTGCCATCTCATGCACGCAGCTGGCTGCTAGCTAGCTTCCAATTTCGCACCTATATATAGGCGCCTAACGTCAACGTTTGGCGTCACGTGATTGTACGTATGCGCATTTCTCTATGAATATTAAATGCGGCTACTATTCGAGGGCGGCCACTATTACACCGCGCGGACGTTACGTGCGGCGTCTATTCGAGGGCGGCTACTATTCGAAGTGCGGCGTTTATTCGAGGAAATACGGTACTCAATACAAGTAGTGTGAATGTGGTGTGTAGTGTAGTAGGGTGAATGACTAAGACTGGGACAATGGAAACAGCTGTGGCACTGGTCTTCACTGAGATCATACGCCATTCTATTGCCATTCTATATACATCTTTTCTACTGCCCATTATAGTGTCATGGATCCTACATCTTTTCAACTGCCATAATTCAACTGCCAATTCTTGTGCCATCATAGTACAGCTATAGCGTATGACAACTGACATGCAGTGATCCAATTGGGACCAGTTGTCGACTTAACCACCACTCATCTCCGTCTCTCTACAGGTCAACAACAGAATCCTGTTTGAAGGAGTCCTCAAGATCTACTGGGGCATCAAGAATGCCCTCATCCTGGCACCCGGCGCTGCGTATGCAAAACAGCGCCACAATCGTCAGTCCATCTACGATTTTGTGGGGGTGGACGACGGGGCGTACCTCATGATGCTGGAGGAGGCGTCCAAGGCCCAGATGAGGCGAGAGCTGCAGGATGGAGAGAAGAAGAGGTTGAGGGAGATTACCGAGAACAGCGTCCTCATGTCCAGTGCAGGTCTGCGGGGTGGGTGGGTGTGGTCAGGTGGGGATTGTATGTGTCACTGTGTGAATACAGATGTCTCAGCAGTGCAAATGTGGTAGTAATATTTTAGCTGTTGAGTCAGCAGCACAACCAAGAAAACGCTTAAATGTCACCAGACCCTTTTCCTTTCTTGAGGGCGGGGTCTGGGTACGAGACTAGGGAGTCTCATGCTTTTCTGGTAGGTGTAGTGGTGTTCCACATCTGATCTGTCACTAGGAATGACGTGATTTGTATGTGATCATGGCAGGCAGACCGACAATGTTCCTACTACTTACAGTCATGTACAGTGTACATGTGTAATAATGTCCATCAGAACCACAAGTGCTCTGCTCCTGGTAGCCTTTAAGGTGCCAGAGGGAGAAGTTGTGGTATGCTCTGCTGATGACAACAAGCCAGAAACAGCTGTCCAGAGCTCCATCTTTTTTCTCTTGGCATCACATGGTCTCATACCTTCATGTGTAATAATCAGATCTGTGTGGTCATGTTAGGGGGGGAGAGCCTTCAGGTCTGTAGGAGTGTAGGCATTTGTCAGAGTTTTTGAGTTCCACACCACACGAAGTAGCTTCCTTCAGAACATTGCCATGCTTTACGCTTTGCATCCACGCACAACTGACGTACAAGTTTGGGTGTAGGTATGTCTGAATCAGTCTTTGTGGGTTTTGTGATTCCTGAAACTATCATTCCGCTTTCGTTTCCTCCGTCTTGGTAGTAAGGCAGCTTACTACTGTTGGGAATTGCCATACTGGTCGGGAAGACAGGTGTATGCTTTAGTGTCAAATACACTGTAATTGGGTCAAGCCTTGGACCTCCATATTGGCTGATATCTGGAGCCAATAGTGTGCACACACAGCCTGCTTTGTGGTCCTGGGGTCAAAGAGGGAGTGACAGATACAAGGCACTGCATCGCATGCCTTTTGTCTAGCAACCGCCTACAGCTTATACACACGTCAGTACATATATCACAGTACATGTTCCATATATATATTATAATGTTGCTTCACCAAAACTGATACAGATGATATGTCGTGTAAGGATGATGTCATATCCAGGAAGTGCATGTAAATGACTTCACCTGGCGGGATATTTCCTCTCTCTCTCTCTCCAGGGGCGGCTGACATAGGCCCCACGTCCCTGTCTCAGGACAGCTATTATGACTACCTCCCGGCCCCCAGACTGGAGGCCAGTCTCAGCTACGACCCCTCCTCCTCCTCCTCCTCTTACTCCTCCCCCTCCCACTCTGCCACCGCCGAGGACATCGATGGCTCAGGAATGAGCCGCTCTCTGGACCGCAGATTCCTGTGAGTCCTGCATCATAACACCTGCATCACTAGCTTAGTCTTACCACTGACCATTATACAATATTCTAGTTGAGTATAGAAGGGTGCATATGTATGTATGTGCTTACAGTCGAACCTATTTTCCTTTAAACCGTGTTTGTCCTATTGTCTGTCTCATTGTGTCTCTTATCTGTTGTCACTTATATACATACCCTTAGTCGAGAGAGGGAGAGGTCGGCCTCGGTGATAGTGAGGAAACGCTCGGCCTCCTTCAGGAAGATCTCTCGACAGAAGAGGAAAGAAGAGATCAGCGACGACAGCAAAATAGTTGTGAGTCTACCACTCACTGTCCCTCTTATATAACTCTACCCAGTGGGGCCCGCCTCATGTGTGTGGAGTACACATATCCTGGTAGTAGAACCAGTGTTGTATGATTTCCTATTGTCTTCTTGCGTGCGTTCACTTTACTATAATTATGTACATCTAGTATTATGTCTTTCTACAGTGGCCCTGACTTGCACTGCGGTCATAACTATATTGTGTAATATTGTGTTGTAGCCCGCCTCAGGCTCGAGTGAAAGTTATTAGGTGGCAAGGTTTTGCACTCTAGCGTGCCTTGATTCTGTCAGATCATTTCTGTCTATATCTATCAATGTAAGGATACGATGTCATCAATATTGTGAGTGTATACTACTGTTCACTAGATGTACATGCACCTTTTGCCAGTATATTAGTACTAATATTGTATTATGCTGTGTGCTCTGTGCAGAAGAGACTGTTCACGCCACCAGAGGGCAGTCCCACTAACCTCCGCCTCTCCTCCACCATCAGAACCAATGACGTCGTACAAATGCTCCTCTCTAAATTCAAGGCAAGTACAGACACACACACATGCACATAATTAATACTTACAAGTCAAGTAATGTGGACAAATTGCGTGGTGCAGTCACTGACTGCTTTGCTGTTGTTTGGAGTGAGTTTGGCATCTTTGGGGGTTTTATTACCCTGGTCTGCTAGTACAGGCATGCTCTGTACATGCTGTGCCGTGACATAGTCATTTGAGAGCCTTTGTCGTGTGTTTTACTGTGTGCCTTAGTGTTTGGTACAGGTAGAGCACTCTTCCATTACGGCTGAGTTTGGGCAACTTTAAAAAGCAGTTGCCGTGGGTGTATGTTGTTATGTTGTTTGCTCTGCCTCCTCTTTGCCTAACAACCTTGTTATTCTTCACGGGTGTGTATTGCATGTAGAAAAATCATGTGATGCCAAGAGAAAAAAAGCATGTAGATAATGTAGTAAACCTTCCCTTTTTCATTCAGGTCTGAATTGTTGATGTTACTCTCACACACCCGCCCGCACGCACACACACACACCCTCACTCACTCACCCACTCACTCTCTCCATTCACCCCCTTCCCCCCCCACACACAGGCAGAGAATGACCCGTTGCTGTATGGATTGTACGTGGTCTACGACTCTGGAGCCCAGGACCAAATCTCTGAGAAGCAGTGTCCCCTGATGGTCAGACTCAGACTGGGCCCCAGCGAGGACATTGCCAAACTCTACATCATGGAGAAGTCGGATGCCAGAGCTGCTCAGATTTCTGCTGAGGTCTGATTGTTTTACCCCTGTTTGTGTCTGTAATGTATAGTACACATGATGTCATTGAGTGCTTTCGGATTGTGCAAGCATTCTGTGTTACTGCTTACTTACATAATATGTGCTCATGTTACTCATGTTGACTGTGAAGTGTCTGTTTTTAAACCGCTCACACTTTCACACAAAGAAAGAAAGATAATTAAGGAAGAGAGGGCTTCTGAGGGGTTAATGACAAAAGACTTCCCACAAGGCTCACACATACAACATACATACATAATATGTACACAGACTGTACTGGTGCAAGGGTAGGAGCAAGACATTATAGATGGTATCAATGGCACGATTGAGTGCTTTAGGATTGTGGAAGCTAGTGTGTATAATAATGTTCATTTACTCATGTTGTGCAAATACTGTTTGTTTACATGTCGTTGAATTACTTGCCGTGTATTGTGACACACTAGAGGCTGAGGTGAATTGTCTTAACAAATTGACTCTGATGCGGACTGCCGAATGTTCGGCTGTTGTAATTGCAACATTAATTACATTATCCAGTACAGGAGTGGAACTCTTAATCAATCCTCTTTTGTACTATATATGTAAAGGTGTACTGTATAATGTGTACATGTATTAACGTACTGCAGGTGGCGGAGTGGATAAAGTTTTCGCTGACAGAGCTGGAGCTGTTCTGTAAGAAGTACGAGGAGGAGGAGAAGAAGGAGGTCGAGAAGGTCATACAGAGGTGAGCTCACAAACACTCTATACAACGCCCTGAACCTGTGACTAGTTGTCCCCTTGAACAACATCCTGAACCTGTGACTAGTTGTCCCCTTGAACAACGTCCTGAACCTGTGACTAGTTGTCCCCTTGAACAACGTCCTGAACCTGTGACTAGTTGTCCCCTTGAACAACGCCCTGAACCTGTGACTAGTTGTCCCCTTGAACAACGTCCTGAATCTGTGACTAGTTGTCCCCTTGAACAACGCCCTGAACCTGTGACTAGTTGTCCCCTTGAACAACGTCCTGAATCTGTGACTAGTTGTCCCCTTGAACAACAATACATGCTGTTACACTGCATATACAGATTCCTTGGAGAGCTAGGTTTTTGTATATACCAAGTAGCTGTAGTCTATCTTTTATGATGTAACATGTTGCAATCAACAAGAGGTGCAGTTCTAAAGTGCGCTGCTCTTGACAATGGTTTTCACTGTGAACAAAGCTGCATAAATGACATATTATACTCCCAGCTACATATAGTATGCGTATATATCCATGCATACTCTTCTGTTCCATGAAGGTATTTGCCACTGAAGGACTTGGTGTGGGAACAGTTGCATGCATTGGAAGCCCAGCACGGGACTCCTAACGGAACTAAACCCGTGTACGTAGAGACAGACGTATAGTATTATAATATACCTCTCACACAGCTGTTTGTTTAGATGTTTCTTATTCATCTGTACTATATAGTACATGCACCTTAGGGCACGAGTATTATTTCTTTTTCTCTACACTTGCAATTGTTTTGTTTGTGTATCAGACACACTGTCCTGTCCCGTGATATAATAATAATTATAATGGTGTAGCTAATAGTATTTATGTTTGCCATTTTCAGTTTGTAACTTTTGACACTATCACTGGTATTAGACACCATAACACCAACTATGACTGCTGAAGTAATTGAAGGGTGTTTTCGTGAACGATTACTGTACAGGTATAACAGAAGACTTTCGAGAGAGGGGGCCGGCAAGACGCGTCCTCGCGCAGGCGCATGCGCATGCGCGTGCTTACATCCACGCCCCCTTTTACTTCGATCCAGTGTTTTCGGCCGCCTGCCTAAGACTAAAGCGCTGTTTATGGCTGAGAAGGGTAACAAGCGAGGTGATCCTGGTGTTGATGTGTGCGGCAAGGAGATGGAGGGTGATGAGCAGAAAGGTGGAGGCCACGAGTGCGAATTACTCAAACAACTGGGGAAGGAGGTCCAGAGCGAGTGTCCGGTGTGTCTGCTGGTCCTCCGAGACCCTCACGTCGTCACCTGCTGCGGCAAGACCTTCTGCGAGGTCTGCATCACCCGCCTCAAGAAAGCCAAAACGCGTTGCCCGACTTGCAACGCGTGGGAGTTCACGTCCGAACCCGATGATAAACTGAGGGCGACCTTGGACGAAATACGAGTTCGTTGTGGTAACGGGAGGGCTGGGTGCCAGTGGGAAGGCAGACTGCGTGATTTGGATGCTCACCTCAACCTCTCACCGACCCTCTCGGACTACAGGAGCAGTGGATGTGAGTTTGCTGGGATAGAGTGCGGGTTTTGTGGCGAGCGCTACAAACGTCTGTACATCTTGGAACACGAATCTCAAAACTGCCTCAAAAGGCCCCATATGTGCAGTGAATGCCAGTTGAAGGGTACATACGAGACCATAACGAAGGTCCACTGGTTTGAGTGTCAGAGAAACGCACTCAACTCGAAGCTTGACGCGCTGCAGAAAGGTCGTTTGAGATCTGGTTGGTGTGGCTCCCCATGGCTCCTGGCCTTCCTAGTGGCTGTTGGTGCCGTGACTATTGCAGCCGTATTTTCCGACCCTTCTTCTGGCAGTGACGAGTTTAGAGCTCTGCAAGAGAAGGTGAAAGCGCTGGAAGATGAGTTGGTGCAATATAGGCAGACAGTTGACGCAACGTTAACTAGTCTACAGACTCACATCACTCATATTTTGAGTTCCATGACTATTGAAGCCGTTCTTTCTTCTGGCAGTGACAAGTTTATAGATTTGCAAGAGCAGCTGAAAGATGAGTTTGCTCGATACAGGCAGACAATTGGCGAAACGGTAGTTAGTCTTGAACTCGACTCACTCAGACCCAAGAGAAACAGGAAGCCTCTCTAAACCGCTTTGGGTCAGTGGAAGCTTCCCTGGCTGGACTAAAAAGTGAAGTGAACTCCATAGATATCTTACGGCAGAGTGTGGAATCAGCTTCCACCAAACTTCACCAGTATTCAGCTACCATCGCAGCCCTGGAGACCAAGTTACAGACAGTCCACCACAGACTACGATAAGAAACTGCGCGAAGAACGTGAACAACGAGAGAAAGAGCACAATGATGTAATGGTTATTATAGGTGAAATGAAGAAGCACCGGGATGAACACCACCATCATCATCATGGACATGGGGGCTGTCACCACAAGAAGGGGAGGAGGGGTCGAGGGAGATAGTGTGAAGACCAAGAGTCTCTACAAACTAAATTAGTATAGATAGTGACAGTAGAAGTCGTTTACCTTACATTCCCGAGTGAAATGAACCCACCTAGTTGTCTGGATTTTTTCATATAATTTTCTATGGGCACTGCACATACCGTAGTGTTAGCTATAGTGTGTGTCTAAATACGCGTGAAGCACACGAAAATCAAACTGCTCACTTTGCTCGCCAAAAATACATCCTAGTTAGCATGCATCGCTGTTCTAGCCTCGACACCACTTCTTACGTGACTTAGCACAGACACTTATAATATAACCTTTATTACAGCGACAGACCCACAAGATCCTAGAGGTGAAGTAAGTAAAGAGAACCAATAAAGCAACTACACACTCGGACAAATTATTATTTTTGGAGTTCGCGTTTTCCCTTCCTGGGTTATGTTCATTGCGCCACAGTTAGGGGTCATGTTCATATAAGATGGGCTTTGTGTTAGTACATTATACACAGACAATAAATCTGACTTGTTGGCTTGAATAATTAACCCTCGGCGCGCATGCGCAGCGAGGGTTCGTCTGTCTGTCTGTCTGTCGACGCTTATCCTGGCACTACAGGCTACGAGGCGGCCCATTAGCGATACCAGTGGATTCAGTACTACACGAGCCCGAAAAATAAAAGGGCGATTTTCCTGGAACGACTGCGTTCGAGAGCGACAAACTGGTACGGTCGCGGACCGAGTTTCATAAGCGGTGCGCATGCGTATATTAGACGCGATCAACACAGTATGCTGGCTCCACCTCGACCTGAACCGCTTGCTCTGTGTACCTCGGAGGCACAAGAAGCCACAGCGAAGGGCGTGTATCGACTCCCGCATGCTATCTACTACCGTAGCTAGCCCGTGTCAGATTCTTCGCGAGCTACTAGCGGGAGACTGCGGGTAAACGCCAATAGCCCCATTCATTAGCGGTACCGCGCGTGCACAGTTCGCCGAGGGTTTGCACTTTAGTGATTTTCATTATCATGGGGCTGAAGCCCTCACCTCTGTTACATACTTTTCAAGGAATAAAATTTCTGGTGCCAGTGTATATAGTGATAGACACCAACAAACCATAGCAAGCAGTACTGATGCATGAGGTTTATAAGACAAAATAGGAATGACTCCTATATAATTATAAGTTTACTTATCTTTGAGCTCCATTTCCAGTTTTATTTACAGATAGCTAGCACATCCTATCTCTGCCTTTTTAGTTATGGGGATGATGGGTTTGAGCATTTCCAGTCGCTTGATAGTTTCAGGAAAGCATCCTTTATATTGGGTAGTGAGCTGTGGGAGGATAAATTTGGTTCTTTGCTTCGCCTTGTTAAAGGTTTTATTTCGGATGTTTGGGAGCTAAGAAAGGTTAGGTTATATGGCGATAATCCCAGCATACAACAGACCCAGTCTCAGATTGCGTCTGGGGAGCTGCAGGGTGTCACTGGTGGAAGGGGTGAGTTGAGGTGTCTGGGAGGTGAGACAGACACCGCATATTCATATGGTGTATGTTCGTTTGTTAACGGTTCCGCCCATTGCTCTGGGTGCGTGGTCTATGGCTCTAATGCTATGGCAGCCACCTGAGTATTATTATTATTATTAACAAAAAGTATTAGTAACAAAATTATTAGTACAACATGTTTATGGCATTAGATCCTTGAAGTCAAACTTATGCACCCGGTTGTTGCCAGAGTCACAAACAAACAGAGTTTCACCATTAGAGGTAATGCAGTATGGACAACGTAACTCCCCAACTCCGCTGCCTCGAGAACCAATAGAGGTGATATACTCACCATTAGTATTGTACACCACAATACGATCATCGCTATAGTCGGACACGTACACTTTATCGCCTGAAACATGAATGCCAGCCGGAAGACCAACTTTGTGCTCCCTCTTCTGCCCAATCATTTGAAGGAATTGGCCACTGGTGTGCATGACCTGCACTCTCTTATTACCGAACTCGGCGATATCATTTTTCCAGCATTATCAAACTTGACATCAAAAGGCTCCTCCAATTCACCATTTTGATCCCCGAGTGTGCCAATAGAACGGATATAGTTCAAGTTGAGGTCAAACACTTGAATGCGATGATTTTTTCTATCACAACGTACAGTTGGTCGTCGTATATTGCCAGCCCACGTGGATCATTAAACTCTCCCTCCCTCTCACTCCTTCCCATCCCACCAATACATTCCAATATGTCGCCGTTAGTCGAGAACTTCTGTAATTTGTGTTGACTGGTCACGTAGACATTGTCTGCTTTATTGAGTGCTATTCCTGCAGGGTATCTCATCTGGCTTGGCATGTCACCCCATGACCCGAGTATTCGCCCCTTATGGTCATTGGTGCTTGAAATGAACACGCAATGACTGCCCCATTCACTAATAACTATTTCACCGCAACGGTTTATGGCAACTCCATACGGACCGTCCAGGTCTTTTATTAGCTATGAAAGAGAATGATTGGCATTATAATTGGTCTGAATGCGGGGATTCTATTACTTATAATGTGCCGGACACTGCACATACTGCAATGTTCTACGTGATGAAATGCACGAAAAATAAAACCATTGCATTCCTCTATAGTTACCAAGCTGTAAGATACAAGCTCCAAAAGAGCATTTTGGCAAGGATAATGAGTTTACAACACCACATCTTCCTGAACCCCCATTTGTTTAAATCACGATAATGCAAACACTTGGGTGTAGCTAATTGCTTGCAAGGTGAACAGAGCACTTACCTGAGCCTTTGATTGCTGCTGTTGTTGACCTTGGATCTCCAGTTCATTTAAACAGAAAACTAATTTCTGCATTAGTTAACAGATAGTCAAGCAACGCTCTTAATATTTTTACTTTGAGACCTCACCTCTTCTTGAACAGCTTGTGCTATTTTCTCATGTTCACTTCTCTTGCTCTCTTCATCCACAGTCGGTGTGGCCTCCACCAAGAGATCCAATACCTCTTTAATACCTGGCCTCTTGTCTGGGTGATTTTGCAGACACTGCTGAATGAGGTTAAGAATGGGGTGGTCCTCTCGAAGTTGACCATAAGCATTGAGCTTTTCTCGCACATCTCGCATATACTTACTGCGTCGCTCAAACTCACTGCGAGGTTGGAGTTTGTCGGTAATTATGTCTATGTAAGTTGGTGTTAGTGGGTCGCAAGGAAATACTTCGCTAACGGCAAAAATGGTGAGAACTCCAAACGAAAAGATATCGATGCTAGTGCTGTTGTTTGCTTCTCGGCCAGCTCCAGGGGGAACTACTTCAGGAGGCATGTACACTATATTCCCAGGTGCACCTGTCAGAGAAGATGCAGCTTTTACAAGAGACTCTATATGTGCTAAGCCCAAATCAACTATTTTAGCTTCCAATTTTGTGTTTAGCACAACATTTCTTGCTGACAGATCACGATGGATAATAGGTGGCGATCGCGAGTGTAGATACTCTAGGCCACAGGCTACATTGTGGAGTATAGAGCATTTCACTCCGAACGGAAGAATAAAAGACGGCTTGATATGTGGGACTAGTAGGTCGTGAAGATCGAGTTGCAGTCGCTCCATGATAAGGGCTGGCAAACGGGAACTGGGTAAAGGGCAAATGCCGTAAAACTTGACGATGTTTGGGTGTTCGAGCGAGGCCAACAACTTACATTCCTCTAAAAACTGATGCGACGCTCTGCTGAGGATTGTCGACGGGACAAATGCCGGATTCTGCATAATTCGTGGATCTTTTTTCCTGCGCAGATGCCAGCCTCAGGTATCGTCACCTCCTCTATAGTTGCGTATGCTCCAACACCAATTCTGTGTCCGGTCCAGCGACAGTGACGTAATATTTGAAGCTCTGGATAGTCCTGAAGATGGTTTTCCATTTTAGAAGAGAGTAGCTGACTGTTTTTGGCCTCAAGTTGGCACACTTTTAACTGGCTCGAAGCCATGCCGCGCATTAGCTGAGAGCGTTAGCTATCTCATTAATTAAAACTTAGCAGTATAATATAATATACAATGATTGTTCAGTAGGGTATCTATAGTTGTTTGCTCTGGGGCTTTGTTTATATTCTACTCATATGGATGCACATACCATTGTGGCATAAAAATGATTCTTTTTTCATGCAATTACTACATCTCCGTAGTTACCCTGACACGTGGCTTTAGTATCATACCACAATCATGTCTAGACACCGCTTTTCTCTTGCATTCTGTAGCTAAGTATAAAGCTCGTAGCTACAGGGAGTAAAATAACAACTTCATAACTGTTAATGACAATCCGAAAAGCTGTTGTGAAGCATGGTATAACTGAATATGACACACAATTTAACTTCTGAAGTTCTGGATAGTCCTGAAGATGATTCTCCATTTAAGAAAAGGCCTCAAGTTGGCACACTTTTAACTGGCTCGAAGCCATACCGCGCATTAGCTTAGGGCGTTAGCTACCTCATTAATTAAAACTTACCAGTATATATATATATATATATATATATATTATATACAATGATTGTTCAGTAGGGTATCTATAGTTGTTTGCTCTGGGGCTTTGTTTATATTCTACTCATATGGATGCACATACCATTGTGGCATAAAAATGATTCTTTTTCATGCAGTTACTACATCTCTGTAGTTACCTTGAAACGTGACTTTAGTATCATACCACAATCATGTCTAGACGCCGCTTTTCTCTTGCATTCTGTAGCTAAGTATAAAGCTCGTAGCTACAGGGAGTAAAATAACAACTTGAAAAATGTTAACGACAATCCGAAAGGCTATGTTGTGAAGCATGGTATAACTGAATATTATGCACAATTTTGACTTATCCATGGATTGCTTTTAGGGGTTGAAAAAATGCCCACCCTAAACTTCTTCAGACCAGACCACATGGATGCAAAGCCAATGCTTGTCCTTTGAGATGTACATATGTGGGTCAATGGTGAGATTCGTGGGTAGCTAACTATGTAAGGGGAGGAACTAGAGATGCTTTCCCATCCAGTGCTCCCTGGACCACCTGTCAGTTTCAAGTTTCAGTGCCGTCCGGGATCGAACCTGGCACCTTTTTTCTGTTTTAAGCTGTGTGCACGACGCTATTTATGACATGCGTGAAGCAGAATGGATGTCGGTCTGCTCCCTCGACGACGACGAAGCGCGACAGAGGGCGGCGATCGAGCAATGCAATATGAAGTGCCGTTTGTCTCAGAACTACTTTTTTTGGACCAAGCATAAACGTCGCGTGAATTTACGTAATATCGCGAGAGTTCTAGCAATCGTCGCACGACTTTAGGCAAACACCGCATGACTTTAGCTAAACACTGCATGACTTTAGCTAATCGGCGCATGACTTTAGCTAATCGGCGCATTATACTTTAGGGCTATACTCTGCAGATTTTGCATCCGTTGTCGATTATTCGCGTTACTCATTCGTCTTCGATATTTAGCTAACGTCGACGACCAAAGCCAAATGCATGGGTTTTTAGCTGTAGTAATGCCAGTTTAGCTAAATGCAATGAAAAGCACTAAAGTGCAAACCCTCGGCGAACTGCGCATGTGCGGTACCACTAATTGATGGGCTGGGCTTTTTATGCCTTTACTCGTGGTATCCCGCTAGTAGCTCGCGGACAGTCTGGCACGGGCTAGCTACAGTAGTAGATAGCATGCGGGAGTCGATACACGCCCTTCGTTGTCACTTCTTATGCCTTCAGGATACACAGAGCAAACGGACGCGGTCGAGGTAAGCCTAATTTACATATTGGCTTGTTCACTTGGTTTTCACGCCATAACTTTAGAACGCAGTAGTTTTACGAAAATCGCCTTTTTTAATCAACCCAGTGTAGCACTGAACCCGATCATATCGCTATTTACCTGATTTCGTGCGCGCGGTGGCAGAAAACGTGGTAACAGACAGACTGACAGACTGACAGACACACTGACGGGGTAACCCTCGCTGCGCATGCGCGCCGAGGGTTAATGATGGATGCTAAAGTCATGCAGAGTTTAGCTAAATTCATGCGGTGTTTGCCTAAAGTCGTGCGACGATTGCTATAATCACACGAGGTTTAGCTAAACTCTCGCGATATTTACGTAAATTCACGCGACGTTTAGGCTTGACCCAAACGGCACTTCATAATGCGGTCGCGGAGCCACGCCTTCTCTTGAGAAGGCGTGGCTCCGCGCGGTGGTCGCTGTAGCCACACCCCTCTATAATGGCTACGGAGATCCATGGACGACGGGCCCAGGCAGCAGAAACAGCGCTCTCCTACCCCCGAAGTCTCCCTGGATGGAATCATAAGCCACATAGGATTTGGACCTTACCAAGTGATAGCCTTTCTCCTGGCCGGCCTCACAGCTCTCGCGTTTGGACTTGAAATCACGGTGTTCTCTCTCGTCGCGGAGTCCCTCCAGTCACAGTGGGGAGTGAATGGAGTGAAACTCGCCATTCTACCTTCCGTAACTGGCATTTCAAACATCATTGGTGGCGTCTTCTTCGGCTATCTGTGTGATACGTACGGCAGGGTATGGCCGTATGTCCTGGCAATGATGAACATTGCCGTGTTCAGCCTAGCCTCTGCCTTTTCACCCGACTACGTCACCTTCGTCTGTCTGCGGTTTGTAGTGAGCTTTGGAGTGACGGGTAGTGTTGTGCTCCTCTTTGCCGCTCTGACTGAGGTTCTGCCAGTCCTCAACCGAGGCAAGGTACTGGTCCTCATCATGTTGGTGGAATCTCTCGGTATCTGCGCCACAGGAGGTCTCGCCTGGTGGCTCATTCCCAGATACCACACTAACGGATGGCGCTACCTCGTCATTGCTACCTCTCTCCCTTCGTTTTTCGTGGTTGGGTTTCGTATCGCTTTCCCGTTTGAGTCCCCGCGATACCTGGTAGCACGTGGAGACCACAAACGTGCCTATAAAGTCCTGCGTCGTATGGCACACTTCAATGGAAAGGACCTCCCATTCCCACTTAGTTCCATCGAGACCCTTCCGAGTAGCACAACACGCAGTCTGAAGACCTCCTGCTTGAAACTAGGCTCAGTGTTCAAGAAAGTCTATCTCAGAACCACCGTCTCACTCAGCATTATTTTTGTCGCCCACACTGTGGCCTACTACTCTCTTGCTCTGTTTACTCCCACTATTCTCGGAGATCTGGTCCAAAACAGCTACTTCACGGTCTTCGTTGGCTATCTTGGTCAGATACCCGGGGTCATCCTCATGTCTATCATTGTCGAGTGGAAACATGTCGGTCGTCTCAATTCCATGAGGTTCTTCATCTGCCTCGCAGTAGCAACTCTCGTTCTCTTTGCCCTCATACAGAACAGTGTGTCCGTACCAGTCCTGACGATACTCATCAATTTCTCCACTGTCCCGCTGACTGCCCTGATGCTGTCGTACATGTCAGAGTACTACCCGACGTCCACCAGGGGTTCAGCCTTGGCATACTTCAGTAATCTCTCGGCTTTCTTTGGCATATTCTTCCCCTACTTGGCTGGCTATGCTACAGATGTCTTTGGTCAGTTCCCCTGGCTCTTTCCGTCCATATGGGCTGTTTTCTACCTTGTCGTTCTGCTCGTCACATTTTGCCTGAAGCAGGAGACACTGATGGTTAATCTTTTGGACCAGTAATGTGATCGCCCCAGGTTTTGCCTGGTGTTTCAGACCTGCCATGAACACTGCAAATTTCATGTTTCCTTTATTTATCATTGACGTCTTATCATTAAGTTAAGTTTGATGTGTGTCTACCTTTAATGTAAGAACGTTTAGCCCTGGGACAATAATTGGTCATCCAGTCAAATCTCTAAAGGTATTTTTATTACAAGTGCTGTAAACTGACACCTTTTAGAGGGTTAAAGTGGCAAGTATCCTATATATTAGCATGTTTCTCACGTTTAGAGGCAATCAGGAAGTTGGCAATAAGAATAGTTCAAAAATGCAAAACCTCGCCGAACTGCGGATGCGCTGTACCGCTAATTGATGGGTTGGGCTCGTTTACTCGTTGTCTCCCGCGCGCTAGTACATACCTGGCGGAGAGTCTAACACGGGCTAGCTACAGTAGTAGATAGCATGCGGGAGTCGATACACACCTGAACGCGGCACTTCAAATCGCCATTTTAAAAATAAAGCCAGTGTAGCGCTGAACCCGTTGGCGTCGCTTTTTTACCAGTTTGTTGCGCGTGGTGGTGATAAAGCGGACAGACGGAAGTAACCCTCGATGCGCATGCGCGCCGAGGGTTAATTAAATCGTCTCTCGATCTCGCACGCTCGTCGTTCGTGCGCGTGCGCACAACACAGATAGTATGCGCATGCGTATTAGATAGCAGAGAGGGGAACTATGATCATTGATTTAGTCACAGTGTCCTGGCCCAGCAGTCCCAGAGTGGTCTGATGAGCACCCTCAGGACCACCTCTCCCAGGATGTGGACCATTATCGCTGTGGCAAAGAACACCAGGTATACCAGCAGTGCAAACTCAAACCACAGCAGTGGCAGCTTGAGCTGAAACACCTCCCACAGATACATCACTGGGAACACTGCCATCACCAAGTAGAGAAATGGGATCGTGAGTAGAGTAACTGACAGAAGAAGGTGAGATGTTTTTGCATACTGTGAGCCAGTAACTACTGGGCCAACCGACAGCGATAGAGGTAATCCGAACAGAGTGTAAAACAACAGTAGGATAGCACTGGCTATGCCGTGGATGATGTCAGCGATGTGTTGGAGAACGACTGCGACAGTTGCGACTGATGGTATGATGATGATAAAGGGGATGTTGGCAGGCCAGAGTTGGCCAACATTGGCAATGAGGAACATTTCCTGGACGAGGTGAAGGCCCAACACCACTGCCATAAGCAGGCAGATCCAGAAGAGAAACTGGAGAAAGACACTCTCCATGGCCAACACGGCAGCCCCAGGACTGCCTCGACTGCTCCATCCCATAGGTTTGTATGCCGCGGGAGACTGCCAGTAGGTGTTCCTCTGCCACTGCACGGCGGTGATTTGCTTCTTGAGGACGTAGAGGATGCACACGACGAGTAGTAGAGCCAGGATCTTCACCGTGAAGGTCCCAGTGATTACAAGCGTCTGCGTATCCCTGACGAGCGCCTGGACGTCGGCCAACGTCTCGTTCACGCGCGGCCACACTTCCCTCAGCAGATGTTGCTTGATCTCCTTCACGTCCTCTCGGATGGCGGCCAACGTCCTCCCTGTGTCGGCCGCCAGAGACTTGGCTGCACTGCTCACGCCTGAGCCACCTTTGAACAGGCCAAATCCGCCGAGAACCCCACCAATAAGGCCACCTAGGAACCCCATATCGCTTCTCCCCACTCAGCTAATGCAAAAACCGTGGAAACCAACAGCACACAGCTTCCAAACTGGAAACTCTGGGGAAATCCCCGCCGTGGAGGCCCTGGGAAGTCCCCGGGATTTCCCCTGCAGTCGCAACCCAGTGCTCGACTCGGAATGGCAGTTCAGTACGCCATCGTCACCAGTGTCAGGTCCCTAGATGTCTGGCCTCGAGCTGTGGAGGCACTACGCTCAAATACGAGGAGAAGTGGCCGGGAAAAGTACGCCTCATCACTTATGACTCGGCAGCCCCCGGCGGCGTCCGGAACTCTCTCCCTTCACTCCGCGACCACTCGCCCTCCTTCACCTGCTTCTTGGAGCACCACTCCCTCTGCTCCAAAGAGTTCGTCCGCGCCGTCAATCAACTGACTCGGGAGTTGGATCCTTCAACTCCTTACGGCGACACCGTGTGGGGAATACTGACTGGATTCGACGAGGAAGACGTCCTGTTTGCAGTCAGACAGCCACCTCTGGTGATCAGGCGAGCCACTGGCAACAGCCCCATGTGGGTCAACACGTTTCCCTCTGGTCTATGGTTCTCTGAGGGCGAGAAGGGCGTCGCCATTCGCAAGCTGCCCACTGAGGACTCGGAACAACGAGAGACCTGTCCTGACGATGCTACGGCCGTGTTTGTCAGAGAACTAAGTGCCGTCAGAGACATAGACAATGATGAGGGAGTGGATTTCATTGGCACAAGTGGTCATGCCACCGAACAGAACCTCGACATGGGCTACAGCTTCAAGAGCGGAGCCCTCATCTCCGATAAAGGGCAGCTCAACGGCCGCCTGCTAGACGGTTCACCGCTCACGCCAGTGGAACGGACCGAGTGTCCGAAAATTCTTAGTGCTGCCGGGAATTGCCTCATGGGTCACATACTGGACGAGGACTCGATGGCCCTGGGCTGGATGCACAGTGCGTGTGTGGTCCAGATGACTGGCTACGTCGTGGAGACCTGGTTCGGTTATGGAGGGTGGGGTGTCAACAACTACTTCTGCGAGGAACCGGGCGGAATGAACTTCAGCGAGGCCTTCTTTGCCAATCAGCAGGCCCTCCTGTACACACTAGAGTCAAAGTATGGTCAGACCTGCAAAGTGTCAGGGGATATCCCTCGTGAGCATGAGGGACTCCTCCACGACCGAGACAACGTGGCATTCTATGGGGACCCTGCGTGGGAAGCCTCCCTCGAGAAAGGCTCTCCTCGTGCTAATTACTCCCACACTGTGACTAAGAGGACGACCGCTGGTGATGGCGGCTGGGCAGAGTGGGAGTACCGACTCACCACTCTACAGTCGGGGAAGTGGTCTCGCCCTCCGGTCTATGTGTTCCCTGCCAGAGTACAGAGAGTCAGACTAGTCAGTGGTGGTGGGGTGTTGACTTGCCGGTTCCTAATGCTTCCTCTGAATGGTAGTTATAGCCCCAGAGAGCAGCACACACTTGTTTTTCAGACCAACCAGCAATAACTCTCGGCACCATATATATAATGAAAGTGCAAACCCTCGGCGAACTACGCATGCGCGGTACCGCTAATGCGTGGTCTCCCAGGATCCCCCGCTAGTTAGCTTGCGGAGAGTTTGACACTGGCTAGCTACAGTAGTAGATAGCATGCGGGAGTCGATACACACCCTTCGCTGTGGCTTCTTGTGCTCCAAAGTACACAGAGCAAGCGGCTCAGGTCGAGGTGAGCCAGCGTACTGGGTTGATCGCGTCTAATACACGCATGCGCACCGCTTATTGATGGGTAGGGCCGGCCGCCGCCGGCCACGCAACGCTGTCCGCGACCGTGTCAGTTTGTCGCTCTCGTACGCAGTCGCTTCAGCAAAATCGTCATTTTAGTTTTCTAGCCCATGTACCGCTAAAGCTGTTGGTATTGCTCATAAGCCGCCTCGTAGCCTGTAGTGCGAGAATAGTCGCGGACATACATACACACACTACACACACACACTGTATATACTACACACACAGAAACCCTCGCTGCGCATGCGCGCCGAGGGTTATATATACGTCTTCTTCTTCTTCTTCTTTATAACCTCCACTGAAGGAGAGTAGCCTATGGGGTAGACGATTGAGTGATGGCAAGTTGATGGCGAAGACGTTCAGTGTGAATAAACTCGACGATCTCTCTCTGTAGAGGTGGATCGTCGATCCACCGACAGCCGAGGATGTACTCTGCAAAACCGGTCGGGTCCGATTCCAATGACGACGCAATTTCCGAGGCGGCCAGCAGTGGCAGAAGAATACGGGCTGAGGAGAGGGCGGGGCAGTGCGAGATAAAGTGCTCTTTGTCGTAGCGGTAGTATTGCTATATACTGTGTGCGGATTTACTCTTGTAGTGCGCTGTAGCAATACTACCGCTACGTGGCGATGTCTGCCAGTGGGTCTTCAGCCAAAGGAGCAGAATCAAGCAGACCAGATGATGTTGTTGTTTATAGACGGCAGAGAGAAGAGAGTAAAAAGGTGGCGGTTATGAGTAAGCTGAGAAAAGCAGCAAGTCTTGGTTATTCACCAGCGGAGCATGAAGAATTGGCTCTTGCTCTAAGCAATGAAGAGAGAATGAAGGAAAAGTACTTCAGTGGTATCATGGAGAGTGCGAAGGAGGCGGTAGATGAAGTAAGGAAGGAGAAAGAAGATCACAGAGGAGGGATCAGGAATCCACAGGAGCAGCAGACCTGCATGGCTGGCATCGCTAGGGAAGCCTATCGAGTGAAAACAATAGAGGTGAAGTTAGCATTCCGCACCCTCAGAACCCGGAGATGGCAGCGTGTAGCCGAGCTAATCAACAGACATGTCAAGAACTTTGAGTATGGGGCGTTTCATGCTGCAATCATCATCGGAGACACTGTGCTCGAATGGAACGACTCCAGCCTGGTCATTCCACAGAAAACATGCAGGACGGAATGGGCATTTTGCTCTTCTGTTCACTCTCACGACAAAGGGAGCATGAAAACTGTACTTGGCAGTCCCGTACCTGTTCGGGCCAGTCACGAAAGAACCGACCAGTGTTTCGATAGTATAGTCAAGAAACTTGAGGACATTCGCAAAGAGAAAGAGCTATTGATTAGCGAACTAGTACATGTGGCGGTTAAATACAACACCAAGCTCCACTATGGCGTCATCAGCAACAACTGCCAGCACTTTGTCAAGGATTGCCTCGGGGTGATTGATGTATCAGACGACAGGTTCCCTTTTCAGGGAAGAGTCAGAGAGCTAGCCGACCTCATAGTCGATGGCCCTAACAACACGCTATCGAGCGATTTTCCGACACATGAGGAGCTCAGCTCCCACGTTCAGGCTCACATCCATGAAATGAGCCGAGGAGACATAGAGTACTGCCTGTGTCTCTATCATCTCTTTCATGCTTTTAATGGAGGCTCGAAATGCTCGTACGAAACCTGTCACGAAACGACCCTTACCGAGGCACTTGAGAAAATGATGTTAGAGTAGGTATTATTAACTGTTGTGTATGGACACAAAAGCTAGCATTTTATAGTGGATTTCCTAATACCTCTGCTTTATACAGCACAATTGTGTTTATACACACATTGTCCCCAAATACAGGTTTTCCCCACACATTATGTCTAAATATACACAGAGAAAAGGGCAAATGCTTATGTCAACTTGTCAGCGACCTCGCCAGCAGTCTCCGAGATTGTATTTCGCCCCTCGTTAATGGTGGGGCGCAGTAGCAGCCATGCACAGTGGAAGTCAGTTTTTATATAAAACAATGCTTCCCAGTACTTTCGGTGACTGGTGACCTTTAGAGGATCAACCTGACTCCCTAACCCTGGACAAAGTAGAGTCTGGAAAACAAGTGGTGTTGTTTGAAATGCATTATTATGTGTACTACAGTAGAACCTCCGATAAGGGACCCTCCGAGATAGGGACGATGTTTCTACAAAGGACACTTGTTTCAACCCCATGCTATTACTTCAGTGTATTATTTGACCTCCAAGATAGGGATGACCTCTATACAAGGGACAAAATCATTGGTCCCATAGTGTCCCTTGCTTGGATGTTCCACTGTATGAACAAGGAAATTGAAACCACAGGCCCACTCTAACACATTCTGTGAATACTATCAGCCACGCCTACATAAAACTGGTCATTTGCCTGCTGTTCTCTAAAGAGTTTGAAAGAATGCCTCTCACCAAGCTGAAAATCAAGAAGGCTCGAGCAGAAACAAGTAGACCAGATGCCAGTGCTGTTGCTGCACAGGAAAGGGAGACTGACAGGAAAGAGTTGGTCATGAAGAGACTCAGAAAAGCAAAAGACCTCGAACTCTCCCCACAACAACAAGAAGAAATGGCCGTGACACTGTGCAACGAAACGAGAATGAAAGAGACATACTTCAGACATCTTTCACAGTGTACTCAGGATGCAGTTGAGGAGGTAAGGAGGGAGAAAACGTTTCACAAGGGAGGAATCAGGAACACACAAGAGCAGAACACCTGCATGAACACCATCCGTAAAGAAGTGTATCGAGTCAAAGCTCTTGAGGTAAAGTTAGCATTCCGCACCCTCAGAACCGAGAAATGGCAGCGTGTAGCCAAGCTAATCCACAGACACGTCAAGACCTTTGAGTATGGGGCGTTTCATGCTGCAATCATCATCGGAGACACTGTGCTTGAGTGGAACGACTCGAGCCTGGTCATTCCACGACGTTTTTCTGAAACGGAATGGGCATTTTGGAGCACGGTCCACACGCATGACAGAGAAAGAATGAGCCCGGTACCAGTTAGAGCAAACGACCAAGAAACGAACAAACACTTTGAGTGTATCATTGAAAAAATTGAGGGTATTCGCCAAGAAAAAGAGCTCCTCATTCAAGTGCTAGTAGAGATGGCTGTTTGCTACAACACCAAGCTCCACTATGGCGTCATCAGCAACAACTGCCAGCACTTTGTGCCATCGGAAAAAGTGGAGATGAAAAGCAATTTGAAGGGAAAGTGGGAGAACTTGCTGACCTTCTTATCAAGGGAGGAGCTCAGAACACTGTGCCTGGTGATTTTGCAACACATGAAGAGCTCAATTCCCACGTTATGGCAAACCTGGAGCAGATGACGGAAGCAGATATGGAGTATTGCCTCTGTCTCTACCACCTCTTCCATGCATTCAAGGAAAAAGAAAGTGAATGTTCAGACAGAACATGCCAAGAAAAGAACCTCGAGGAAGCTCTTGAAAAAAAACCTCTATAGCTTAAGATATAACTCTGTATAGCCAATTGTACCATTGTTGTCAGATGCGTGGATTGAAACTGCCCTTTTACTCTTGTTGTGACTACAGTACTATAGCTACTTTCTAGAAGCAAACCACTTGCTGTGAATACACTATCCCCACTCACTTGGGTGTTTTTAACCCTCTGTCTGCTGCTAGCCTGCTATATCCATTAGGTCATAGCTTAAAGACTAGAAAATGGGGGCCAGTCCATCATCCTTGAGTCAGTGAGCGCCAGCTAAAGAGGGTGGCTGGAGAGATGGAGATAGAGAGAGCAGTACAGGTCCACTTCACACAAGAAGAGAGAGGTGATGTGGCCTTAAGAGACTATACAGCAGACTGAACTCGTTGCAAGTGTCCTGACAGAGAACCAGGGGAGGTTTTGAGGCTAGCGCCTCAGTAAAAGCAGTTCCCTTCAAGAAGCTTTCTTCAGTGGCATGAGTGATGCTTCTACAGAGGATCTCCCTCTAGCTATCATCTGGAGTGACATTTCTATCCCTGAGACAAGAAAGACACTTCAACCTAATATCCAAAATCCAAGACATACCCAGTGACTGTGGTACAGGGGTTGTTACTCCAGTTGTGCTCAAGCAAGTCCCCATAGTTCAAGGAAAATTCATCATTACTTTTTTCGGCTACAGAACTTAGAGAAGTGGCTAACATCGATCGATGACCAATACTACGTAAATGCATGGTATAGTAGCTAATGTCCTCTTAGCTAAACGCAACGACGGTCATGCGGTGTTTTGTGCGACGATACATCGCTACGTCCTCGCTGCGCATGCAATGTGGTAATTACTCCGGGTTGTATTCTGTACGTGTCGTCACGCTTAAGAATGTCAATTAGTACGCTTAGTAAAGTCACTTCCGTCATTCTTAGGAAGTCTAGCTTCCGCCGTGCGCGCAGATTCGTATAGGAAGTCTGGCTTCGCCCGCGCAGTCAGTAGAGCGCCCGCATGCACGAGCGGCTCTCCAGCTATAGCTAGCACATGCACAGGCTAGGCTAGGCATACGCACGCGCGCATGCAGGCGCGAGGCAAAATATGCGCGTGCGCATTCCTAGTAATTACAAGGCCGGCCCGCGCCCAGCTAGCTATTAGCTACGGACACGGTCACGTGAATCGTACAAGAATTCCAATTAGCGCGTTGAGGAATGCACGACCCTATGCTTATTTTGTTGACAATACGGAGAATTCGCTTGAAAAAGTAGGGTATATACTGTGCATTTAGCTTGGCTCTAGTGCTCACGCTGTGAGTGTGACGGAGATTTTAGTATTCTGACTATAACTTGCCGAGCGGTCAGGGGATCACTTACATCAGCCATGCGTGTAGTCCGTCTCCTCGCATTGGCCTCTGCAGCTTTCGTGTGTGGCTGGCCACCTTTTCATTCCAGTGCTATTACCAAGGTGTTCCCGGAGCACCCTCGGCACATCCCAGAAACGACAAGCCCCCGTATCCAGGAGCCACGAATGACAACCTTTTTTGGTTTTTGCAGATATCAGACATAGCTACACCTGAGTCTCGCGAACGACTTTGAAGTTAGGGAGGATCTGCAATCGTTCTGTACCAGGACTATTTCCACGGTCACCCCAGCTCTCGTCCTCGTTACTGGTGACCTGACCCACGCTAAGCTGAGCGGGAGGCGCCACTCGCGACAGTTTGAAGAGGAGTGGAGGGTGTATGGAGAAGTCCTGGCAGACACTGGGGTGAGAGACAGACTGCCCTGGTTTGACATTAGAGGAAACCATGACAACTATGACATTGTGTCTCGCACTCACCCGAGCAACATTTACTTGAAATATTCCTCGGGTTACCACAGAGGAGGCTACGGAGCTACCCACTCATACAGCTACACTCACACGACCTTGTATGGCAACTACAGGTTCATTGGCGTAGATGCCTGTCCTTCTCCTGGACCACGTAGACCTTTTAACTTCTTTGGAGTCCTTCATGATGAGGATCTGTCTGCTCTACAATCACTGGTGCGTGTGTCTGAGAACAACAGCTCCCCTCCCCTTAACACTACCATCTGGTTCAGCCACTATCCCACAGCTACCATCGCAACAGATCACACAGCTCTTCGTCGACTCATGTCCTCTGCCGTAGCCCACGTTTGTGGCCACCTCCATGATCCACTGGGTGGGACCCCCATGTATGGTAGACACCCTTCGAATCACCTTGAGCTAGAGCTGATTGACTTCAAGGACAACAGAGGCTACCGACTGATGGCCATGGATCATGACCTCTTCTCATTTGTGGACACCAGACTAGATCGTTGGCCTCTCGTGCTCATCACCAACCCCAAGGACTCCCGTTTCTCCACCCCTGGCAGAGAGCCCCTTGGCCGTATTCGCCAATCCACTCACATCAGAGTTCTCGCGTTCTCTCCTTATAGTGTTAAATCTGTGAAAGTGTGGCTAGATGGTCGTCCACTACCTCCTGCCACTAGGTTCCAAGAGGGACCATTATATACCACTCCATGGGATCCAGGACTGGTGGCTAGTGGTCGCCATACCATCACGGTTGTCGTTGTGGACAAAGAACAGAGTGTCAACCTTAGTCAACACTTCACACTGGATGGCTACCACCTACCTCCTCTGGAGAGACTGCCTCAACTATTGCTTCTCACTGATTTCAAATTACTATTTCAGATGCTCTTTTTCTTCCTGTGGCTATCCCTGCTCGCTGCACTGGTGCTTTCCTGGATTAACAGAACCAAGCCAGTTTACCTACAGCCATTGGTTAGAAAGAGCTCAGTCTTCTTGCCTCTGACACTTTTCATCTTCTACTTTGGAGTAGGTCCGTGGTGTATTGGTGAGATTATGACTGGAGTGTACGGGCTAATCTTTGTCCATGGCATACTACTCTCAGAACACTTCATACCTGGCTCACTCACCTACTTTTTTGGCATATGGCAGCTTCTTCTGTGGTACATACCCCTCACTCTCTACCTTAACTACCTCATCTCCCTCCCCCCACTCACCTTCCTCGCCCATCACTTGTCTCCGACGACTCCTTTGTCACTCCTCCATGTTCGTTCTCTTCCTTTACCACTGCGGGTGGCTCCTAACCTTTTCACCTTATGGCCCACTGGCCCTCATCCTTAGTCCAGGCATATCATGGACTCTGCTACTCAGTCTATACCTCATCCTTAGTTCACAGAAAGTGAGTACCAAGTCCCTCGGCGGAAAAAGAAGTGCTGGCTTAGGTGGGATTCGAACCCACAATATCAGACCATGATCAGCTCCATGTTATTTAACCCTCGGCGCGCATGCGCAGCGAGGGTTACGGTAGTTGGTGGTTTGTCTGTCTGTCTGTCTGTCTGTCTGTGTGTCGACGCTTATTCTGGCACTACAGGCTACGGGGTGGCGAATGAGCGATACCAACGGCTTCATAACTACCCGAACCTGAAAAATTATTAGGCGATTTCCCTGAAACGACTGCGTTCGAGAGATATGCCTTGAAAACAAGCGAAAAAGCCAATATGCATATTAGCACTGGGCTTACCGCGGCCTGATCCGCTCGCTCCTGTGTACCTTGGTGGCTCAGGAAGTCACAACAAATGGCGTGTATCGACTCCCGCATGCTATCTACTACTGTAGCTAGCCAGTGTCAGACTCTCCGCGAGCTATTAGAGACCACGGAGTAAACGCATGAATAGCCCAGCCCATCAATTAGCAGTATCGCGCGCATGTGCTGTTCGCCGAGGGTTTGCACTTTAGTGCTATTCATATTATACTGTAGCTGACAAGCACCACGGTGGATATCTTGCGAAGTTAGAACCGACGTAATGATGAAATAGTCTATACACAAAAATTACCTACCCAATGCACACATGGAGATGACAGAAGCACCTGCATCCATGGACATGGTGCTTAGAACTATAATACGTGCAATAAAAAATCCTGTGAATTTAATAAAGGCATAATGAGAAAGGAAAACAAGATGGGGATGGATACATGAAGCATGGTTAACGAACATGTTTGAGCATGCTGACACCTCCGGCCCAATAACACAATCCTTATGATTATTGTTGCCTGGTGTGCCACTCTTAAAAGGATATAAGGTCTAAATTAAAACAGAACTCAATTGCATCCATTCACTGTGCCCATTGTTTTGCTCTATCTTTAGTATTTAGCCCTTATTTCTGTCACATTCCCTTTATTTAAACTCCACTTGGACTCTATTATGGTGTTGGTTACTCAGTAGCATGACAATTTTCAAGCTAAAGACCTGAGTATTGTGACAGTGAATGTGTAATACTTAACCTAGGCAACAATATAGGGATTGTGTGATGGGGTCGGGGTGTCAGCCTGCCCATAATAGGTTCATTTCATCCCATCCCTATATTATTATGCCCCTTTAAATTCACAGGAATTTTAATTTACTTGTCTCCACTCATTTTTATATACTACTAATATCTCCGTGAAAGGGGGAAGCCCCTATAAAATAATAATAAAGAGTTTACAAACATTTCGTCGTCATGGAAATAATTTAATACGTACTAAGTTTCATCTCCATGTGTGCTATATACTGTTAGCAAGTGAAGAGATAATATTTAGAGAAAAATGCCTGAATGTTTGATAGTCATGAAATACGCATGCGTACCAAGTTCATCTCCATGTGTGCTACCGTTAGCAAGTTTGAGGAGTGAAGTAATTTTAAAGAAAAACTCCTGAGGGTATTTTTCTTTAAAATATGGTCATCATGGAAACAATGTATTGTGCATGCGTACCAAGTTTTATCTCCATGTGTGCTACCGAATTGTACAGCTGCCTCTTGGCAACAATACTTACTGGTAGCTAAGTAGGGAAGCTGGTCGCTAAGTAAACAGCAACAGTTTACTGATCTCAATGCTCTTCTGAGGGACTCCATAGTAATAGGTATGATGATGTCAATTCCCTTTCTCCTCAAATTAAATTGTCTAATTTAAGAAAACAGGAAAACA